CAGCACTGGCAGCTGCAGCTGGTGGTGCACCGGCGCATCCGGCTGCAGCTCGCATTCGTGCACGCAGCTAGTCCGGCACGTCTTATTTCGACGACCAATTCTCCTTGGTACCCGTTCGATAGCCAGTTAACGGTCCGTCAGGGGATAGAGTCGAACCGGCTGATCCGTCCTCGTGGACTCTTGGACGTGTACTGACTCCCCGAGCTCGGACCGGGTCCGCTTAACGCGTGTCGTTCGGCTCTCGTGGATGCGTGCGTGCACGCCGGCGTGTTGGTCAGCCAGTGGAGGGCAAGCAACTAGCGGCTCTACTACATACGACGAGGTGCTCGTTCGTCGCGCGACTGCTAGCGACCGGTGTTCTTCGGCTACGTTCGTGCTCGACGAGGCTCGCGACACTCTTCGCACACGCACGATTCGCGCGCAGCCTGTTATCGCCTGGCCAGTCCTACTCGGACCCGTTCCCGACCGACTCTCTCGGCAGGAGAGGACGAGTTGAAAAGCGGCTTTGCCTACAGCTAGACAACCTCTAGGATCGCTCGCTTTCGAGAAACAGGCTATCGCCGTTGTGGCGGCAGCAGCAGCGCCGCGACGTGCTCCGCCAGAACGTCGAGACGCCCCTCGATACCCCACCGATGCCATCGGCCTGGCCCGAAATCGATGCCCCGCAACGCGACGTCTCGAAACCACCCCCTTTGCCCGACCTGTGCCATCAACGAAGCAACGCTATACTCGCCACTCGCCCTCTTCGTCGCGAGAGCCCGCCCTCTCTCTCTTCCCTCGATCCCCTTCTGTCTATGCGATCCTCTCTCTCTCCCCCACTCTCTTTCTCTACGTCTTCGTCGCTCGCGTTTTACCCCATAGTTCCTACGCGTACAACGGGGCGAGTTTTCTTCGTGGATGAACGGATACGTATTCTCTTTTTACAGTCCGCTGCATGAATGGTGTCCCGTGAACGGCGGTGTCGTGTGACACCGATCGATCGCTGTAACTAATAGCCTGCATCGATTAAGGAACCTCAATTGGATACACGACTTCAATGACAAATTTTTTACGAATCTAATGTCCCAATAGATTACGTTATCCTCCGAATCGCTGCATATATTTTCGGACGGTTATGACTGCAGTAGCTCCGAAAGTTACACTGCGACCCATAAAAACCCCCCCGCTTTCATTCCCCTCGTTGGCACACGACGCTTAAAAAGTTCCTTCTATCCGAATGCAACTTTACTGCAAAATGGCTCCTCCCAGCAAACAAATTACGCAGTATGCATTTCTATCGTTATTCCATGACCCCGAAATATTAAACGGAAGAGACAATTACATAACGAAGAGCAAAGAATTGAATAGCGCGCTCGTTTCATGACCAATATCGTGTAACATCTCGGAAACGGTTCCAGTCAGCCGTAAAAGCCGAGGGTACCGATAAAACGTGCGGTCGCCAGCTCCACGGTCGTCCTCCGAAATTTCGTGGAAAGCAGGACACGCCGCGCGTTCCATCCTCAGTCGCCTTGGAGATGCTCCCAGCAGCCAGAGCAAGAGAGAAAGAGAGAGAGAGAGGAGTCAATAGACTCTCTACGTTGCGGCAGATGTACGTATCGATTTTGGAACGTTGATTCGCGCGTGTTCCAGAACGATACCGTTGCCCTCGACGCCGGAGATGCTGGTGGCAAGAATCTTCTTAGAACACAGCTTTTCCACGTTCGCTGTGGACAACGTTGCCAGCAGGCTGCAGGGACGACAGGGGGCTTCCAACACCTGGAGGCCACTGGGTGGCCGGCATTACCCTCGCCAGGTGGTTGCAACTTGTTGTTGCGAGCACCCGCGAACTACTCTTGCCTCTGTTTTTTTCACATGATGTAACTCCTCGGGAACTTTTACCAATTCGTCAACTGGGCTGGCTGGTCTTTCAGAACTGCAGAAATCTGAACTTCAGAAATTTTGAAATAAGATGTTTGAAAAAGGTTGCAGAACAAAAGAAGTCCACATGTGGATGTTGAGGTCTATGCATCATGTAATTTTGTGGTTTTAGGTCAATCAGAATTTTACAGCTTAGATTCTTGAGTCTGTTCAAATCAGTAGCTCACTAGCTGTCCTCGATTCTAGGCTCACCTATAAATCTTATCATTCGATCAATAAGATCACCTACGCGGAGGCTACAAATTTCGAATCGAACCCAATCATTCAAATATTTAAGAGTTTAAATTTTACTTCGCCATTTGTCAAGCTTAGCATGTGTAGCATTGACGTATGTGATATTTTTGTCTAAGCCCTCTATCTTTAAAAGTGCCAAGTGTGATATAGAATGTCACTTATATAAATTGTCATAGAACCTGTCATACACGCTGTCAGTTATGCAAACTTGTATAAACAGTTATGCTGTCAGTGTAACAGCAATGTCAATCACACAAAAATTTTTTACGAGAAATGAGATGATTGTTAATTATGGAACACACGTTGGTGGCCATATATGAAGATCTTTCACATGAACAGTTATGTAAAGTTTTATACAAACCGTCAATTATTAGTGTAACAGTAAAGTCAATTATACAAAAATTTTTGATAAAATAAGAGAGTTCGATGATCGGTAATTATGGAACACGTTGGTGGCCATATATGAAGATCTTTCACATGAACAGTTATGTAAAGTTTTATACAAACTGTCAATTATCAGTGTAACAGTGAAGTCAATTATACAAAAATTTTTGATAAAATAAGAGAGTTCGATGATCGGTAATTATGGAACACGTTGGTGGCCATATATGAAGATCTTTCACATGAACAGTTATGTAAAGTTTTATACAAACCGTCAATTATTAGTGTAACAGTAAAGTCAATTATACAAAAATTTTTGATAAAATAAGAGAGTTCGATGATCGGTAATTATGGAACACGTTGGTGGCCATATATGAAGATCTCTCATATGAACAGTTATGCAAACTATTATACAAACTGTCAATCATCAGTGTAACAGTAAAGTCAATTAAATAAGAGTGATAAAATAAGAAAATTTGTGATAAAATACGAGAGTCGGATGACCGGTAATAATGGAACACACGTCGGTGGCCATATATGAAGATCTTTCGTATGAACAGTTATGCAAACTATTATACAAACTGTCAATCATCAGCGTAACAGTGAAGTCAAATAAGAGTGATAAAATAAGAAAATTTGTGATAAAATAAGAGAGATCGGTAACAATGGAACACACGTTGGCTACAAGATGTGGAACAAAACAAGCCAATTTGCAAGTATATGCCTAATTCCCTGAACAAACAGAAAGACTATTATAAAACAGAAACCATAGTACGTATCGGAAAGTGATAGAAAAGGAGAACGGTGAATGGATGTGAAAGGACAATCGTTGGAAAGCAGAACGAATGAGGAAGCTCCGGCATAATGCTGCATGTCCTGAAGGGATCTGGCAGAGGTGGGCGATTCGCGCGTTCGAAGGAAGAAAGTTCGTGGAAAGACACACGCAGCTGCGTTCATGGATCATTTACGATGCCCGTTACCCTTGGCGAGTTGATACGTCCTTCGGACACGACCCCATTGTTCACGGCTGAAAAGGAATACGCGGACGATCTTCCAGAAAATAAAGGAACCTCCCGTGTGGTCACCCTACGCCCGGCACGCGCCACGATCTACCTTTCATTTTTTTTATTCCTGCCAGCCGTCGCCTTTCAGATCCGCAGGATAAGTCTTTTCAGAATGTGTCTTTGATCTTCCAATGGACAATAATGCAGGATTTATGTGTTGGCACAGTTTGTATCAATTCAGCTTGCAAATTGATGATCTGAAAATTGTGATTTATAGTAGACAGTGTCTAGAATAATTTAGTACTTTTGTGGACTCAAAAAATGACCTCCAAACTACATAAATTACTAATACTAAGTTAGATTACTTAGATAAGTTCTGAAGTTCGTTCAAGATTATGTAGTTACAGCTTATAATTTGAAGTAATGGCGGCTCGTTAAAAAATCACGTGAATAGAGGTAGGAAAAGTTGTTTTATGATTAAGCAAATAGAGGAAAGAAGAAAAAGAAACAAAGCGAGTATTATTCTACGATGCACCCTACTGGTTAAACATATCGCTATTTCACCGGGGGGTGTTTTGCTGCCCTTGAGGATTTAAAGAAGCTGGGATAAATGGCACCCCGGGTTGCGTCGATTGCGCCACACGGATCACGATTCGAACGTCGATGATTGCGGCCACAAAGGAAGGCAAACAATGAGGCAACCCTCTGCAGCAGGTGAAATAACCCCGCCATAATTAATAATAAACATATCTATAAAATACGAAAGGTCTTTAAAACCTTTGAAAGGCCTTTGAAACTTGGAAACCTAGAAATTTCTCAAGAACCGAAACTTGGGAATTCGACAGAGGATTGGAACAAAAAGGAGAAGAAAGTTGGAAGAAAAAGGGGAATCAGTTAATCGAAAATATTTAGCACTGAAAGGGTTAAGAGAAAGGAAGAAGAAGGGGTTGCTTGGGGGCTGACCGATACAAGTGGGACATTCAAGAAAGGGGTTAGGTCCCATACGATGACAACGGCAAAACTCGAAACGACGTCGTCGGACTTGGCTTCCGGCCATTTCCCAGCTATCGATCCACGAAGCGTTACGACGAAGCTGCCCTACGTGCAATTATAGGTGTATCGTGTGTATAATACGACCCTGGTACGTGCATAGCCAGAAGGGGTAGGCAGATCGTCGGCGCACAAGGACGATCCCCAAAATTTGGCCGCGAAACTGGGATCGCGAAATTCTCCGATGGCCATTCGCGGAACGCGCTATTAAGGACAAACTGGTTTATTGTTCGACAAAAAATTCGGAAAACGGGTCAGACTTCACTTTTCTAAATTACTTAATTAATTAATCTATGCATCAAAAGTAAAAATCGAATATTTAATTTTGTAAGAAATTTCATTCATCTAATTTAATTTATGACATCAAGTTTTTAAAAAATCAACCCCTAAATTGGGGTCAAAGTTCCTAGTGCAAACTAGACCCTCGTCATTAGAAATTATAGCAATGAACATAGAAATATTTATTTATAAAATCTTGTATTAAAAATGTAATATAAGAAATGTAATGAAATTTTATGGAAATTGATTGTGTAATTCTTTTAATATTTCGGTAAAATGGCGTGTAAGATACGGTTCACCCACCCTACGAATATAACACAACGGTGCGTTTCCACGTATGCGTGGAATCGATAACTGGGAATTAGTCTGACAGGCTGTCTGCCAGAGCCAAGTATACGTGCATCTAAAAACCTTGCCAGCTATTAAAGTAATTATATCTCAGATTCGATCGAATTAAATGTTTCGGTAGACTAATTGCGCTGTGGAATTGTTGAATCAATTTTGGTATCTACTTTACGTTAATTTCTTGGAATTGTATTTTCAACGTTGTTATAATAAACCGAGGGGAAAGTTTTCTTTAAAACAGTCGATAATGTTGGTGTTTCGGTTACCGAATCTGGATGAAATCGTACCTTGTAGGCTTAGTTTCGAACTTTGAACATAGAGGCATTTTAAATTTGGCGCGCTATGACTCGCACTGAAATTGAAAATTGTAATTTCATTTCGAAATTTAATTTGAACTATAAGAATCGTAATAATAGTTAAATGAATGTTTCGCAAATTATAAATGTATGTACAAATTATAAATATATAAATGTAATACATATTTTGGAAGTATAAACATGTATAAATATAACTTTTTATTTACACAGGTATTATTTATACATATTTTATTACCATAGTAAATATTGTTATTATTACTGTGCAGTTTGATTTTTCAGTAATTTTCGAATACACAAAGTGTGCGATTTATTCACTTCAACAAAATGCATTTGCTTACTGTTATTACAATTATAAACATAAGTACCTTATTTAGAACTGTTACGTAGAAAATAACATATGTATTCTTCTTTGTACTATTATTAATAAAAATTGGTTAAATTTAAGTTATGATTTAATGTTAGAAATTGATAATAGATTTGAACAGCGCGCCTTTTCTTTTCGATAGTATCGATCGATTTAGTTTGTCAAGAGCGGCGCTGCAAGCACGCTAAATATCGCGCGCTTTTTGCGCGAACGGTATAAATTTGACGTTCAAGTTGTGTAGTTCAATTTGTGACATTTTATCGTTAAAAAGTTGTGTTTTGTACTGAATAAAGTGATATTAGTGAACAATTGAAGAACAATGCAGTTTCCTACGAAAAAGATGTATAAATACTTACAAATATGAACAAGAAACCTCCGAGAATTTCCACAACATTCTACAAGTAACATCCCATGCTATTCCAATCGTAACGAAGATGTGTACAAAGGCACTTCGTAAACGAATGTGAGTATTTTTTAATACATATCAACAATTTTTTGAATAAGTCTTGTCAAACGTTTTAATTATATACAAACTTCTAACCCACAATTGTCATTAGTATAGTACAAAGCAAACTTTAAAATTACATTAAAGTACAGATTCAAAATACAAAACTTACCACTATATATCTTTTCCATTATCAATTATACAATGCTATACAGAATTGATTACAGAATAAATTTCTTGATTCAGGTATAAAATTTTATATTATGTAATGTAAATTTTAATAACAGAAATGGAAGTGTTGATTAACGATGGCAAACCTGTGACCATTGTATCATAGCACCACATTAAGCAAACTGTTATCATAAAGCGCAATATAAATATAAATTGTTCAATGTATCATATACTTTATAGTATTAGAAGAATTTCCCTTTAACTAGCTTATAAACATTTGTCATTTGTTATTAAAATATGTAGAATTACAAATAATTTTTTTGGAAGTTGTCTTCCTCCCTTTCTGTCACTTTCTACAGTAAGATTTTTCAATGATATTCCATTTACCGTAGAAATGTTACAATTCCTTCAAATACCGTACAATGTAAATTATATTCAATTAAAGAAATCAGCTACCTCTGCTAATTCCCTTGCCCTTGCTTGTTGATGTGCCCAACGTGCCTCTGCAAGTTTATCAGTTAATCCCCACTTCTCATGATAGATACGTTGTTTACAAGTTGGACACTTTTTACCCCCTACAAATAAATAGAAATAATTATTCATTTGAGTATTACATACTCAATAGAATATATAACAAACAATATTTGTACCATGGAACGGAGGAGTCTTCATATATGTCACAAGACATTGCAAATGAAACAAATGCCCACAGTACAGTCTTTCTACATGCATATTTGCATTTTCGTTGGTCTCTGCATTTTCTGGGTTTGGTGGTAAACACATTTCTCTACATGATTGACAATGTTCTTGTGGCAAGGTCTTAATAGACCTAGATAAAGTAAATCGGTTTTGAACTACAGGAGCAATAGTACAATATAAATACTGCTAATTTCACTTACTTTATAAGAAAGGAAATAACAGTATTTAGAGACGGCGATGGTGTGAATGGAGCTGAAGATTTCTTTTTAAGGGGTGGTTCCACACATTGTCTAGCTAGCTCTTTTCCTTGTCCCAGAAAATAGCGTGTAAACAAAGGTGGAAAATTTGTATCTGCATCCTCCAATCTAAACACAAAAGGGTCATTAGATAAATGTATTTTTCTTATATCTGTCTTCGTCTATACATACTTTACACAGGCTGTTGGGTAGTTATCTGGTACTACAATTTTAGCCTTAAAATAATAAAGGCCTTGCTGGACTTTCAGTCCAATACAAGAATATTTCTGTTTCAATTTTAATTCGTCGTCATTCTCCAAAGTCTTTTTTATGGCAGAGATCTCATCGTAACAACAAATCAAGGGATTTTCATCTATGAAATTACGAACAAATTTCAATAGCGGAAGTACCTATAAGAACAACTTTTATGTAGTAGTATTATAAATAAAAAAATGCTGTATTTAAAAGAATAAAGATTTTCTTACCTGAGCTTTTCCTAGAAGTTTCTTGCACTCCTTCTCGCAAACCTCTGTCAGACCATCAAGCAACTTGACAGACAGAGTTTTACTTTTTAATTCAACTAATAATGGTGTACGAGGATAGTCCTCTGAGAATTGAATGCACACAATAATCGTTTTAAATTTTGTTTTTCTGTGAATGGAATAAATAATGATGAATAAACAATATAGTTGATGTAATTGGAATTCAGTAAACAGATCCCTATAAATAAACTTACGTTATTTCCACTCGCACCATTGTGCGCACACAGGAAACGAGACGGCTACCTTCGACAACATTGTGGCAAAGTTTTGATACTTCTTGTAATTCATCATCGATAAAGCCCATGAGAATACACGAGACAATTTTTTCTCCTAATCTAATGTTCACTTATCGTTTGTGTTACCAAATCGAACCGAACAGATTAGAAAAAGGATATGGAAGCACTATCGCGTGTAGTTTCGTTCCTGTAAATTAGAATTATGTCACGCAATCACGATCAAGGTCAGTCAAGGAACCTAACTCGTCATTCGTGTTTTGCACCCACTACCTGTGACTTCTATATTTTTAATTATTCAAACAATACAAAAAATTTCAAGGCAGCAGTGTAATAATAATACAAACTCATAAACATCACTTTTTAATTTTGTTTATGCAATACTGGAAGAAACTATATAATTTTTACGTGCCTCCAATCAAAACGCATAAAGGGGAATACAAAAACTTTATTCCTTTATTTTACAATCGATTTACAAAATATTTCATACATTATTACAATACAATTACTTATTGTTTCAATATGATTATATTTGGATCATATCTCTGAATTTGGTAAAACAGAAATTTGCATTCGTAAGTCTGTCTAGTACTGCAATATTTCATGGCGGAGACCTAACCTAATTTAACGCACACGTGTGCGGAAATTCAAACTTACGAGAAATTAAAGAGCGGTCGTGAGTTTGGTTCGTTCTGCGCATGTTAATTCTGATTGGTTGGACTTTATCTTGTAACCAACAGCAACGCGCACGTGCAGTTGTGTAGTTTTTTACAGCCTATACACCTGGTGATCTTATATTTTGCATAATGCTATGTTTATGAAATTTTAATAAATGTACAGAGAATTGTGATTGAGGTACTTATTTGATCCTCTTCTTCTTGAAGAATACATCATATTATAAATGAGTAGTCAAAAGCTACTGTTTTTTAATCAGAACTTAAAGAAGTATGAGACTTGAAGAATTTTAGAACTATGAAACATTGAAGAACTGTGTTACAATAGAAATTGTAGTATATCAAAAAGTAATGCAAAATTTCATAAAATGAAGATATGTTACAACATATATCTTACTTCACGACACTGTTCACACATTTTGCCCACCGAGTACATGACCATAGGTGTCCAAACCTCACCAAATAGTGGGGGCCTCCTGAAGTTAGCCACCTTGCGCGAACTAAGTTAAGTAAACTTAGAGAGTATCCCACAAATAAAGTGATCTCCATGAAACTAAACTAACGCAAGAAAATGTCACGAATCGCGAACACAAGAGAAGTGATACTAACAAGCGACAGCACCGGTGAGCATTGGAGTGCCGCAGTATGGGACCCGCGGACCGGTTCTCTATTATCAACCTACAAAAACGCGGGAGCGCTCAGCCATCGAACTCTGCAGCTCCTAAACGACAGTTACGTGATCGGTGCAGACCTAACAAAGCCCCGCATCCACATTTGGCCCATAAACAATCACAATCCGGTTCCTAACCTCCGCCTTACCACGCCGGGAAAAGTGACAGCGCTCTGTTGCTCGCCCAATGGCGCCTACATCGTGGCGGCCATTTCCGAGAAGTTGTTTCTGTGGCAAGCGTGCAACGGGCGCCTGCTAGGGAATTTGTCGCAGCACTACCAAACGGTGAGCTGCTTATCGTTCAGCAAAGACGGCTCTCTGTTCGCCAGTGGCGCTGAGGACGGTCTGGTGTTCGTGTGGTCACTATACCGGGTGTTGAACGACGACCTGCCCACGGCGTTGCACGCTTTCTCGCACCATTCGCTGCCGGTGAAGGACCTACAGTTTGGCCACGCGGGTGCCAAAGGAAGACTATGCTCCGTGTCCCTGGACCGCACGTGCAACGTGTACGACCCTGGCAGTGGTCAATTACTGCTCACCCTCGTGTTCAACGTGCCCCTCACCGCCGTTTGCATGAACGCGAAGGAGAGCGACTTGTTCGTCGGCTGCACCGATGGAAGCGTTTATCGATTTAATCTGCACGAACCGCCCCGTGGAATAGAGCACCACGTGCAGATCCGAAAGGACGATGGAGAGACCGCCACCTTCCAGGGCCATAAATCGAGCGTCGCGACGCTATCGGTATCCATCGATTGTCGATACCTGCTGTCGGGTTCGACCACCGGCGAGGTTCATTTATGGGACATCGCCAGTCGACAGATCCTCCGGACCATCGATCACAAGGGACCAATCACCGCCGCGTTCTTCGCGAAGCAGTACGAGAACTTTAGAGTCACGAATCTTCAACCACGTTTGCAAGTTTGTAGTCTGCAGAGGGTGGCCGATGAGGAGGGGAAGCAGAGTATTGAAATCATATCGAGGGATCGACTTCATGGGGAGTTGCTGGATTTTGAATCTTATGTTGAGAATAAAGAGTCGGGGAGATCCGAGGATCGAAACTCGAGGAAGATGCTTGAGATGAGGGAGGAGATCGATAGGTTGAAGGAAATCAACGCCGCCATTTATCAGTACAGCGTTAAACGGATACTGAACAAAACGAATGGGACAAGTCCCTGAAAAGGAGGATTAAGTTCTGGTTTGTGGATGGGATTATCCGGATGAGACGCTGAATCTATCCTTTTCGAGGAATATCAGTTTTGTATGAAATTTGATTGCAATAAAAAACCTGTACAGAATTTATTCCCATGTTTATTCATTTCCAAAATTACAAATCAGTCGATTCGGAAATTTACTCGCGAATTTGCGAAGTCCCACATTTACAAATCCCCCAATTAACCATTCCCGAATTTATAAGCCATTCGCAAACTCTCGATTCAGTAACTTGTTAAATTTATAAACAACGTATTAATTATATCGGCGGTAATATAAAGCTGATACGCATGACCGTGTAACTCATTTCCATTTGTATCTAATCTCTCAAAAAGGAACTGTATAAATTTTAAAGAGCTTCATATCACTTAGACTTTTGTACGAATATACGATGTCTTTGCGAAGCTCAACTGAATAATTTACGGCCATTTTGTCAGAGTATCCGGGCACAGCGATACAGAAGCTAGACAAAATGGAAGCTGCCACGATTTCATTTCGTATTAAATTCGAATGGGAGTCGTAAAATTGCACGGGGTCTAATTCATTCGACGATAGAACTGTCGTTAATAATAAAATTTTAATAAAAATTCGGAATAAAAAGATATACCAAGAATTTTTCACTCTTATTCGACTCATACACGCGGATAGAAAAATGCATTGTACTTTTGAAAATTTCATTAATTAACAACTTGTTAATTCAACGAAACGCACACGGGGTAAATTTCACCTCGTTCTTCTAATTTCTGCTGAAGTAAAAATACATAAAACCCGCACGAAAAAGAAAGATGGAAAGAGTTTTGAATACGTACATAAAACGTGGATCGGTAAACTACAAATATTGTCGCTTTTAACGTATAGCCCCTATTAATTACAGGGACGTGTTAAACGAATTTGAATATAAATGAAAAATTTCCGATACGTACTTTATTTTCCATTCCTTGTGGCACATTTCCCGACAAAATAATCCCGGGAAGAAGTAACGCAAAAAACACCATAAACTCGAATTTAAGTCTCATGAATCTTGCTCTTTTACCTGGTTACAAAGAAAAATGAGAGAATAAATAGAATCCGAGTATTCCAGAGAATTATCAAAGGATTAAGAACGAAAGAAAAGGATATGATACTTCATATACCAGCTTTAATCTTTTTCTTAAAAATGTCTGAGAGTATTTCTTGTTGCAAGAGGAGAAGGAAAGGTTAATTGTTTTATCCATGGTAATATCGTAAAAGGAACACGATTTAGCCGAAGAATGGAATTAATTATTCCTGGTGCATTAGTCACGAGCATAATTTTCCATCGCTCGAGGGTATCCCTCGTATTTTTGCTATGGCGCTCCTCCTATAAACAGCGTTTCACCGTGGACGTAATTGCGCTCGGAAAAACGGTACAACCGTGGTGCGACGTGATTTTAGCGACTGATCAATTCTATCCGTTCTCTCGCTTGTACTCTCTGGCGGCTCGTGAACGACGGGTCAAAATTACTCCGATCCAGGTGGTAACTTTTAACGGCGAATTGTTAATTTCCCCGCGAAATGGCCTCAGCTACAATTCGACGAAACACGCTCAGATTATTTCTCTCGAATCCTGTAAATTGAATCCGGTAATCTTTCTCGCTTTTCGGTTTCCTTTTACGCAATTGATGCTGGATTTAGCAATTACCAAACTTTGTTTCGACTTACTTCTGAACTTGGGTTCTTCCTTTCTGTAGTTAAATAATTTCACACTGAAATTATAGAAGTGAAACTACAGGGTGTCTTATAAGTAGTGTAGATTTAATAGGGGGTAGCTAACGTGATTCTGAATAAGATTTCCCTTTGCAGGAATGAGGTAGGAAGCTTCGTTTTTGAATTATTAAGGAAAAACGGACCAATCGGAGAGCGAGGATTGCGCATGCGTAGACGCGAGAGCGACAGCTTTGGATAACGCGTAGTTATCCAACGCGTAGTAATGCAATGCGTGGTGATACTACGCGTAGGAATTCAACGCATAGTAATCCAACGCGTACTAATCTAGCGCGTAGGTATTCAACGCGTAGTAATCCAACGCGTGGTAATCCAGCGCGTAGTAATACAACGCGTGGTAATTCTTCGCGTAGTAATACAACG